CTACCCAATCATGGTAATCTCTCTCTCTCTCTCTCTCTCTCTCTCTCTCTCTCTCTCTCTCTCTCTCTCTCTCTTTAAAACAGGTTCTCTACTGGACCTGCCCTTCTCAACTTCTACCTGCTGGTTAAGATCAATGATGAAGACACAGGCAAGAAAACAGAAGTTACTATAAGACAAAATAAGAACTGTGGACCCATTTTTATTGTGACAGAAAACTATTTGACACTTTAAGTTTGGAAAGTGAACTAATCTATCTCATTTTTACAGAATCATTTGCTGCTATAGAGATAATAAGCTAACAGTCAAGAGTGGAAGATGGGAATTAAGAGGGTAAAGGAGGAATCATCAATGGCTCCTTGTTTTACCTAGTCAGCTGGGCATGTGCTGGGAAGTCTTGGGATTGAGAAGTCATGATGTTGAGGTACGAAAGCAGAAGTGGAAAGAGGTGGTTTGCAGCATCAGTAATGTTTAGACATATAAATCTTAAGAAGTTTCTTTATCCTTCTTTATTCTTATGAAACTTTACTTATATGACATAGTTTATGACACTGATATAATTAATTTTATACTCATGTGTTTCTTCAACCAAACTATCACCATTATAGAAGTACAAACAGTAATATTTAATCCATTTCCTTAATATATGTTCTTGACATAATCAGGAAGTTAAAATGAATAAAAATGAGTGATATAGACACTTAGGAATACAAATCAAAGCAAAATACATATTTCTCTAAGGATCTTTACCACTCAGCCAGAACAGGGTTAACCTAAAGACTGGAAGCCCTTTCCAGCAGAGTAACAGCTGCTGAGGACAGAATCAGTGACCTCCAAATGAGGTGCAAAAAATCTCCAGACAACAGAATATGGAAAAGAAACTCGAAATAAACAAATGACAAGAGAACATCTGGATAAATTCAAGAAGAACAACAAAAATGTATTGGGGTACCAGCGGGGCAGGAAGAAAACACTGATGAAGCAGCTAATCAAAACCATCATTGCTGAGAAATACTCAGAGCAGAAGAGCAAAGAGAAGAGCGCATGCACCCAGATCCAGAAGGACTGCAGGGTACCAGCTAAACAAAATCCAAATAAAAAAACTCCAAGACACATTCTAATCAGAATGACAAAAACCATAGATAGAATACTGAAAGCAGCAAGACCAGAGAAGGAAATTACTTACAAAGGAGCATCCTTAAGATTTACAGCCGACTTATCAAATGAAACCCTCTAGGTGCCAAAACAGTGGTGGGATATCGTGAAAATGAGATGAACGCCTCACCAAGAATACTTTACAACTTCACAGATGAACAACTCAGGAGCTTCACAGACTCAAAACCATTGTACAAGAACTACTAAACAGGCTACTTTAAGAAAATATACACACCACAAGAACACCAAACTCCTATTGTGATGGGGCACAAAACCCCATCACAATAATCTCTCAGTGCCAATGGACTAAACACACCAATCAAGAGTCACAGGGTGGAAGGATGGATTAGAAAACTGTACCCAACACACTCTGCCTTCAAGAAACATATCTGAGCAGTCAAAGCAAACACAGACTCAAAGTTAAAGGCTGGAAAACAATTCTTCAAGAAAACAAACTTCTCAAAAAAAAGCCTGGAGTATGTGGCTGTGTTTGAAGTCATAAATTTCATGCTCTCTACAAGGGCTTAATGGCTTTGGAGTGATACAACAGCTTTCACACGCTTTCTTCTAAGGAATTTTTTTGGTATCATTCATAGAGGATTATTCATAACAAGCAATACAAAATAAATTATTTAGTTCCTGCTTTGGGGGCAATCTTTGGGGACCAGGGTGGAATAATTCAAAATATAGTGGTTGGAAGGTGTAATGATGGTGGGATTGGTGTTGGAATAATTGAATGTAATCAATTATTATGAACAACTTAGTAAAAATAAAATAAAATTTAAAAACAAAGCAGGGTGGCCATACTAGTATCAGACGACATAGACTTTAGGCTGAAGAAGGTTATAAGAGATACTGAAGGTAATTTTGTAACGATCAAGGGGTCGTATATTAGGAAGAACTCACACTCATAAACATATAAACACTTAATGAGGGACCAGCAAAACACCTAAAACAACTGCTAATAAACTTGAAGAAAGACACTGATAGCCACACAATAGTAGCTGGAGATTTCAACACTGCTTTGTCACCTCTTGATAGATCAACTTAAGTTCAGCAAGGAAATACTTTGAGGGAAGAAATGGAAGAGAGGGAATTAGTAGATGTATATAGAACTTTTTATTCCCTCAAAGTGAATACACATTCTTCTACAGTGCACATGGGACATTCTCCATGATAGACCACATGCTGGGTTATAAAACATACCTCGATTAAATTAAGAGGATATAAACTATATCAAATATATTTTCAGACCATGATGCACTGACAATAGAAGTGAATCACACACAGAGATGAATAATCAAATCGAATCTCTGGAAATTAAAGAACTCACTACTGAACAACAACTTGAGAATCTTTATGCCACAAAACAACAGAAACTTAAAGAAATGGAAAAGTTCCTGGATTCCTATAATATCCTAAAAAGATTTGGAATACCTGAACAGACCTATCACCATCAAGGAAACTGAAACAGTAATCAAAAGTCATCCCCAAAATAGAAGCCCAGGTCCAGATGGTTTCACTAGTGAATTCTTTCAAATCTACCACCAATCCTTTTCAAACCTGTCCAGGAAACTGAGGAAACAAAACACCCCCAAATAATTTTTATGAGTCAAAGATCATCCTGATAATCAAAATAGACAGAGACAACAACAAAAAAGAGAATTACAGGCCAATATCCCTGATGAACACAGATGCAAAACAAAGATCCTCAACAAAATACTAGCAAACAGAATACAACTCATTAAAAAGATTATACATTAAGACCAAGTAGGATTCATTCAGGGGATGCAAAGATGTTTTAACATTCAAAAGTCAATCAACATAAAACACCTTATCAATAAAAGAAAAGATGAAAACCATATGATCATATCCATAGATGCAGAGAAAGAATTTGGCAAGATCCAGCACCCACTCATGCTAAAAAAAAAATCTCAACAAAGTAAGAGTTGAAAGAACCTTCCTCAATATAGATCAAAGCCATCAACCACAAGCCCACAGGTAGCACTGGAATAAAGACAGACCTGCAGACCAATGGAATAGAGTTGAATATCCTGACATACACTGTCAAATACATGATCATTACCTTTGACAAGAATATGAAATAGAGCAAGGAAAGCCTCTTCAATAAGTGCTGCTGAGAAAACTGGGCAGCTACATCCAAAAATAAATAAGTAAACTCAGACCTCTATCTAATGCCATATACAAAAGTCAGATCAAAATTGATTAAAGACCTCAACATCAGACCCAAATTCATAATATACATGAAAGAAAACGTAGGCAAAACCCTCTACAATACTGAAGCTAAAGGCATCTTCAGGCTGAAACACCACTGACCAAGCACATGGAAGCAAATGTAAACAAATGGGATTATATTAAACTAAGAATCTTCTGTACCTCAAAAGAAACAGTGACCTAGATACAAAAGATAGCCCATGAAATGGAAAAAATTATTTACTTGTTTGATAAGGGGTTAATATCCATAATATATAAGTCACTGGTAGAAACATCCAACCCCACCAAAAATGGAGAGAAGAAATAAACAGAAACTTCCTCAAAGAACAAATACAAAAAGTCAAAATACACATGAAAAACTGCTTTACATTGCTAATTATTGAGGAGATGCAAATCAAGGTAAAGGTAAAAGGTAAAGGCCCTCCACTGTTCATCGATTTGCTCGAGCGGGCCCAGTAACGTCTCCATTGGAGACTTTGTTGTTACTGTGTTTGGCATATCGAATACATCACCGGGAGCTTGCCAGGCTCTGCCGTGCGGGCTAGATACTCTCGGTAGCTTGCCGGGCTCTCCGAGAGGGGCGGAGGAATCTAACTCGGTCGGCCATGTTGGCTGCGTGCAAGGCAAACGCCCTACCACTGTGCTATAGTTCCAGTCCCAATGCAAATCAAAACAATGAGATATCATCTCACACTATAGACACGCATATATCCAAAAGAACAAAAGCAATCAGTGCTGGTGTGGATGCAGGGAGAAAGAGACTCTCCTTCATTGTTGGTGGGAATACAGACTAGGGAATCCAATCTTTTTGGAAAATATTATGGACATTTTTCAAAAACTAGAAATTGAACTTCCACATGATCCAGTAATACCTTGGAGACCCACAAACACAATGCAGAAAGCCATCTGCATTTCTATGTTCATTACTGCACTATTCATAATAGCCAGAAACTGGAAACAATCCGAGTGCCCCTAAACAGATGACAAATAAAGAAACCATGGTACATCTATATGTTGAAATGCTTGAAATTTGCATATAAAAGGATTGACATGGAGAATATCATGCTGAGTGAAATGAGTCAGAGGGGCAGAGAATGGCTGGACTCATTTGTGGTAAATAAAAAAAACATAGTACAACACTAATAACTAAGGACAGCAGAAAGAAGGGCCAGGAGGATGGGTCAATGATTGGAAGCTTGCTGGAAGTATTGATGGTGGGTTTAAGAGGGGGGATATTGTGAGTGCAGCTAGGATAGAGAAGGGACCACCATGACAGACAGTGGAAATGGTCATTCTGGACATAAACTTATTTCTGAAAGTAGGTAAAGGAAAAAATATGATATCCTTTCAGTACTTGCATTGCAAACCATAATGTCCAAAAGGGTGGGGGGCAGAGAGAGGAAGAGAGGGAGAGAGAGGGAGAGAAAGGGAGAAAGGGAGAGAGAAAGAGGAAGAGAGAGAGAGAGAGAGAGAGAGAGAGAGGGAAAGAGGGAGAAAGAAGAAAAGTATCTGCCATAGAGCTAGGGACACTGATGACATTGGTGATGGGAAATATACACTGGTGGATCAATAAAACAATAAAAAACCATAATCAAAGTAAAAAAAGGGCTCACCAGTCTGAGTGAAACCGAAATGATGTATAATCTGATGAGATGCCAGCATGTTTGACTGTTTTAATTTAGAGTGTTGTGAGAAGGCTGATGTTGAAGTAAACGAGGGATTTCTGTTGACCTGTAATAGGAAAAGCAAATCAGAAACTACAGTGTAATTTCCTGGGTTACTGATGCAAAAACTGGATGAGAAATATTTTCTTATAATACAAATTTGCACACATGGTCAATCAAAAGGAAAGGCAATGATTTTTATATTGTTAATATATATATATATAATATTGTTAGTTTCTGATATTTACAAAGTACAGTACTTTATATCTAGAAAAAAGTAATAAATGTATAAATTATGAGTAAATCCACCTCACTAAAAAATTATCATGAAATTGACACCAGGAATAAAACAGAGTAGTCTTAAAAATCATACAAAGTAATAGAAAAATAAAAGTGACTTCAATTAAGGGAGATGAAATTCTTTGTGAAATAACAGGTACTTCCATTTCAGAGAGTACAGAGAAAACCTTGTAGTGTTCATGGTTCTGTACATCATGATGACAGATGACACAGCTGTAAATTTGACAAGTGAAAACTACATCAGAAAACTATGTTCTTGAGACACTGTTTAATAAGAGCCAGAACAATAGCATAGCACGTAGGGTGTTTGCCTTACACATGGCCGACCTGGGTTGATCCTTGTCACCACATATGGTTGGTAATCTAAAATTCTGCCAGGAGTGATCACTGAGTGCAAAGCCAAAACTATGTCTTGTGCATTGCCGGGTGTGGCCAAAAACAAACTAAATGAATAAATAAATAAAAGATCATTAAAATAACCATGAGTAAAATTTCTGTAAGTTAATACTAAGTCCTATAATAAAAATATAATTACCTGAGTATAATGGCTCCCCTAGAAATGAAATGCATAACAAGTGCAACATTTATACTACCACTAATTATAGAAAAATAAAAATCTCACAAAACAATTTTGAATATATATAAATTCATTAAGTTATAACTAAATTCAATGATCTTGTTTATTATTAATAGTATATTTAATATTTCATAACTTTCATAACCATAATAAAATGTGATCTTACTATAAAAATTTTTGAAATAGTTTGAATTTCTAATTTACACAAAATTTGTAAATTAACAAAATTAAAATGATAGTTTGTTGCAGACAAATACTAGTAACAAAAATAGTTCACTTCTCTTATTTTTTACAGAATAACCAAAATCATACACTGCACTTCACTGTATTAGCATTTAAAAATTCCCTTCTGATGATCTTTATAAGATAGTTGTGGGTTGTGGTTTACATGCTCTTTATCTGACTCATAATTTATAAAATGTTTGTAAATACTTTTCACAGTGATAGTAAGTGGTATCTTAGATTAAGTTTTGCTTCCATGACAATATAGTTCTATAGTAGCTAAACTTTTATGTCACCTTTGAAAAAAAATAAAAAATGTATTATGAAGTAGTTATATAAGTACAAGTATCACATCAGTACTAAAAAATAAAACTCAAGTTTTGAAAATTACATTAGTAACTCTTTTTTTAAAAAAAGAACCAAAATTATCTAAATATAATAGAATACCTAATATAACGAATCTTTCAATGTGCTAAGGGAGTTTTAAGATGAAATATTATAAGGTGTTATTAATGTACTAAGCATAGAGCATTACATATTAAATAAGAAACTGATTAAATAATGAATTCTGGCAAAGGGAAACCATAAATTATGATATTAAATATTATTTGTTATTATTAACCTCACTAGGAGAGTAACTGGTAATATATACAATAAAAAATGATGATGCAATAAGTTTTCAGGGTGTTATGCTTTTAAAAAGAAGCACCATATACAAGATAATATATTTGCCACTTAAACTATTTAATCCACTTCTCTTTTTAGAATCATTTTCCAGTTTTACTTCTGCGTTCTTGAAAAAAATTGTTCTACATGTCAAACAATGCATTGTGAAATCTGGTGCAAAAGAACAGGTGTATGCTGGGGACATGACACACTTACACACGTACATACACACATACACAGCTTTTCAGTTTTCTTATTCATAAATTGGCTTCTGCTAAAATAGAAATAAAGAACACCAGAAGAATCATGTAGGATACATAAATGCCTCTGAAAAGCAGAAAAATTTCTGACCTACTTCACTCATCTGTAGTATTTAGAATAACATGATGGGGAACTGTAACATGATGGGGAATCAAAGATGGGCAAACCCTTGGCGCCTGATGACAGAGACCATCGAAGGAGAAAAATGGAGGGGAGGGGGATGAGAATGAAGAGGCAGTTTGGTATAACAGAGGAACAAGGATCAGAAAGGAACTCTTCATTGGTGCAGGGATGAGGTATCTCTATCTAATGAATCACTAGAGCCAACATGACTATAAACATGGAACCAAACCACAATAATCACACTTTAAAACGTTTTGTTAAGAAGGCATACTGCGGAGGGGGGGAAAGATATGTGGGAACATTGGTAGAGGGACACTGATACCGGTGGTAGGGTTGATGTTGGAATACTGTATGCCTAAAATTCTACTGTTGATATCCTTGTAAATCATGATGCCAAATTTTTTTTCTTAAAAAACTAAACCAAACGAAACCAAACCAGAAGACAAAGAGTACTGACTTAAAAATTTCAGTAAGAAAAAAAAGGTCTACAAGTACATGTTCTTCCTAAGACTTTTTATAACTCTGTTGTCTTCATACATTTGTTTAGGCTATTCAAATATCCATGAATTAATTAACAGCAACACAGTAGATAACTCAAATTTCTAAGGTTTGGAATAACTGTCAATGATTACAGTGATAGAAAATTAGAACTCAAAAGAACTCAAAGTATCTTCAAAGTGAGCTTACACATATTTTCTACTTCATTTAGAGGAAGAAAAATAATAATAGACATTAAATAGAGTGAAGCAATATCTATTCTTGAAACATATGCTGTGGAAAAGAGTTGCTTAATAATTTTACAACAACAGAAAGGTTGGCTAAGATAGTCTGTCCTCCACAAATCTACCCTCTTTTCACAACACACTTTTCTGCTTGCTTCATGCAAAAACCACAGTCTGCTGTCAGTTTTTAATACCTCAATACAGAGGAAAATGAAAAGCATACAAATGTAATAAAATTCTTAAAAGATAAATAGAAAATGAAATGAAATGTGCTAGAAGGTATGCCAAGGTTATTACAAACAGTTTTGTTCACTCTTTCAGGGTCTGAGCAGCTTTGTGAAAACTATAAAAATATTGATTCTGTAGGGAAAAGTTTAATTTTCATGTTAAGTCATTGCCCCCAACCTATAAGCAAATGCAAAAAACTAAAAAGGCTGCTAACAATGCTTCGATTTTAGTGATTAAATGTAAAAGACATAAACTCACTTCCAGATATACAGTAAATAATTTCAGTTGACTTTAGATTCTGTGATACATTTATCTGAAGTAAAATTTGTTTTTAAAGTTTCAAACTATGAGGGTATTTCAAAACTGAATTAGTCATTCTAAAGTTTTAAATTGTAATATTGATTAAGGATTACACACATGCACACACACACAAACCAATGACTGATGTCTCAAAGATTATTGATATTACTCCCTATGTTAAACATAAAATTAAGGTTTAGTGCTGGTTCAAACCACTTAGCAAGTAGCACTTAAGCAAAAGTTAATTTACCTCAATTAATCTCACCTATTTCCAAAACTTTACCTCCTTTCTCTGTTTCCTTAATTTACAAAGACAATGTGGTCTTAAATCCTGTGAAATACTCACTTCCAAACTTATGAAAGAATATCATTTCCACCAACCTTTATCAATTCAACTAATGTCAATGAAAGAGGTGCCTTTCCCACTTAAGATCAATGTGTCACTCGAGATTACCATAAAAGTTCTTTCAAATTCTCTGGATGTTTCTCTAAAAGCAATAAATCTAGTTTTACGTTAGTGCAAAAATAAATAGCAGGCACCCTACAATTTTTACTATATGCTTTCATAATTTCCTAAAGTTTCACTGAGAGAAAAACTAGAAAAATAACATGCAAAGCTATTCATAAACCCCGATCATTCACTTTCAATCAGCTTCAACAAAGCTATGCATGATCAGAGCACTAAAACTGAAGTTAAATTCACCTGGTATTTCAGATGATGAAATTTAGCAGACCCATTTTAGGCCACTGAGATATCTATTATTTTTGGCACTCATGTTGAGCCCTCTTCTTCACTCAAAACACCTGGTTAAAAGGTAAAGGTAAAGGCCCTCCCGTTGATCGTTGATTTGCTCGAGCGGGCCCAGTAACGTCTCCATTGGAGACTTTGTTGTTACTGTGTCTGGCATATCGAATACTCTCGGTAGCTTGCCAGGCTCTCCAAGAGGGGCGGAGGAATCAAACTCGGGTCGGCCATGTTGGCCGCGTGTAAGGCGAACGCCCTACCCGCTGTGCTATCGTCTGATCTCGTCAAAACACCTGGTTAACCTGGAAAATATACTTTCCTTGTTTTATTTATCTTCTACATTGGTATTTTTAAAACCTAACTCTATAGCTCAATAAATCCAAAACTAAAACCAGTCTTCCAATATTAGCCTGCTAAAGTAACTGCTCCGTGCTTCTTCTGGGATAGCTATCTGCACCTACCTAGCAGCCCAGCCAGAAAGATGGAAAATCATCCTGAACTGCTAACACTGCACATTGCAAACAGTCACTAAGTTAATGCAGATACTATGGTATATGATCCCACACCTTCTCCATGGTCAGGCTCTGGTTTAGGCTACCATAGTCACTTATGTACTACTGAATTTCTCTCCTGATGTATGGATTATTTGTCGGCTTCTCTGCTAATACTGCTATATAGTTAACAGAATTCTAAAATACTAATTTTATTATACTTTTGCTTTAAAACTATCAGCAATTTTCTCACTAAAGTCCAAACTTCTTGGTTTGAGGAAATAAAAAGTTTCTATGTTTTAACAATGACTAAGCTCCCTAATCTTAGCATTCACTCATATGTCCTGGCTACAACAAACTCTACCCTACTCCACACACTTGCCAGTTGTTTAATGTTTTAGTGGCTAAGCCTGTGCCGTTCCCATTTCCTGG